TATGCAGTGATCTAAATTAGTTTTGGATATACAATAAAATAGAACTTGGTTTTTATCTGCTCCACATTTATTTCCAATAATATTACAATACGAAACTGTATGAGTTAATGAATAATCTGAAGAGGAAAATAAAAGCGAAAAACTTTCAATTTGAGCGTTTTCTCTAAATGTTGAAAAATTATATGTACCCGAATTTCCTAAAAGTCCAATAGTTATTGATGAATACATTTGTTGTTTGTGATGTTGTTATTATCAAAACATATATCGCCAAAAGAAATACCAAATGTGTAACTTCCTTTTTCTTCATTTTCTCCACATTTAAGAACAGAAACTTCAATTGCATAGTTTTTATTAGAAAGGTATTGCTTAGCAGCTTGAGCAAATGCCATAGCTTGCTCTGCTATTGACGCATAATAACATGTTCGATGTTGGACGAACTCTCCATCTGCTTGGCAGTTATAATAAACAGACCCTCCACCATATTCTGTGGTGGAACTACAATTGGTAAATACTGTTTCTTCAAGTAATGTACACACTTTATTAGTTCTTTGAATGCAAATTGCGCCAGTTTCTTTGCATTCTTTATAGAAACAAAGTAAAACATAATAATTATTGATACTGCTATTATCAAATAATAATACGGTCCCATTTTGTATATAGTCACATTTATCTTTACTACCAAAATATTGATCCCAGCTGGACTTTTTTGCATTTTTCAAATTTAATATGTGCATTTAAATATGCCGAAGATTGATTAGGTTTAATCATCTAGTAATGAATATTATTCTTCTCTTTGTTCTGTATCATAAAGTTCATCACTGCAAGATTTGTCTGTATTTTGTCGCATAATAAAGTCGTAAAAATATTTTTACGGGTGTGAACTATCCAAAGAAAAAGAATTTCCAATTTAAACTGTGACATCGCTAATGATCGAAAAATTAACAATTTTAATAAGGATCTAATTTGTAGAAATAACAACAAGAACCTCCAAAATCCAAAATACAAAGGGACGAACTTTAAATTGAATGGTCAATTTAAAGCAAGTATTCAATTTTTTGGTCAATTTAAAGCAATGAATGAGAAAAACTTTGAGCTTAGGGCTAATGAAGGTTTTTACAACGTAGATAGATAGACAAATGTATATGTCATCATTCCTATGAGTATGGTAGATTTCTATAAAAAGTGAGTGCAATATCACATTGCATTTCGAAACATGAGAGAAATAAGCATATATATACGTTATTACATATATATCTATATGCTATTCTATATTATTACAATGTTAAAATAAGAAAAGCTCTAAGAGTCTCATTTGAAATATAATCTATGTTATTTTTATATAACAATTATCAATGAGAATGTAAATTATATTTGATTAGACGATAAATGATGAATAGACTTAATTATTTATGATTAGACATGTGTGAATAGAAAAATTTGTTAACATTTATGAAGATAATGTGTTTTGATTGAGATTACATTTGTGCTTAGTGGATATTGCTATTATTGCATTTATATGTGTAAATTAGGTGCACTTTTCACTTGAATGTGATTATTGAATTTTAATTAGAGTTTAAATGCAGAGTATTGTTCCTTTACTGCATTTGTAAATCTCGAATAGCTTGCACTTTTTCACTTGAATGTGATTCATTGAATTTCAATTCAAGAAAGGAGTTTACAAATGCAGAGTATTGTTCCTTTACCCTGCATTTGTAAACTCCTTTCTCGAATAGCTTGCACTTTTTCACTTGAATGTGATTCATTGAATTTCAATTCAAGAAAGGAGTTTACAAATGCAGAGTATTGTTCCTTTACCCTGCATTTGTAAACTCCTTTCTCGAATAGCTTGCACTTTTTCACTTGAATGTGATTCATTGAATTTCAATTCAAGAAAGGAGTTTACAAATGCAGAGTATTGTTCCTTTACCCTGCATTTGTAAACTCCTTTCTCGAATAGCTTGCACTTTTTCACTTGAATGTGATTCATTGAATTTCAATTCAAGAAAGGAGTTTACAAATGCAGAGTATTGTTCCTTTACCCTGCATTTGTAAACTCCTTTCTCGAATAGCTTGCACTTTTTCACTTGAATGTGATTCATTGAATTTCAATTCAAGAAAGGAGTTTACAAATGCAGAGTATTGTTCCTTTACCCTGCATTTGTAAACTCCTTTCTTGAATATCTTCATTTCTTTTAATTATAAAGATCACATTCTGTATAAAACTCCTCAAATATCCTCAATTTCCCATTACAATAATAAATAACCATTTTCTATATTTCTTAAATTTCTCTAATCCTTAATTTTCTTATCAAATTTGTTATTTTTTCAATAATTTTTAAAATTTTCTAATATTTTTTGGAAATTTTTATTTAATTTTGTGAGAAATTTATTCAATTCTTATTATATAATAATATTATTCAAAAATATTGTTGTAATTTTTCAATGATTACGATAATTTTTAATTCAATTTTTAATCGAATGTTTTGATGGGACGAGCTTACTGAGCATTGGCTCATCCCATCAAAACATTCCATTCAAAACTCTGGCCTTCATCGAGGCCAGAGCTCACAATTCATCTCCTCAGAGCCAAGTTCCTCGACGGTCGTCCTCATTAGGCACGATCCGAGAGGAACTTGGCTCTTCATTAAAATCACAAGCTCTGGCCATTGCTAAGGCCAGAGCTTCGCAAACCATCCTCGGGGCCGGTTTCCTCAAAGACCGCCCTGATTCAGGGCGGCCGGAGAGGAATCCAGCTCCGAGAGAGTGCCCATACGAAGCTCTGGCCTTAGCAGTGGCCAGGGCTTTCAAAAACAATCCTCAGGGCCGAGTTTTGCGATGATCGTCGATCATGTCGACAGTCTCGCAAGAACTCGGCCCTGAAAGACATACAGATACATGCTCTGGCCCCAGCAAAGGCCAGGGCTTCGTTTTAAATACCCAGGGCCGGCTTTCTCAAATGCAGCCCTTATCCCGGGCGGCAGGAGCGGAATCCGGCCTTGGGATACTTACCAAACGAAGCTCTGACCCTAGCAAAGGCCAGAGCCTACAAATGCAATCCTCAGGGCCGATTTTGAGGGAGATCGTCCACATCATTGACGATCTCCTCTCATTTCGGCCCTGAAAGAAAGAAATACACAGGCCCTGACCATAGCAAAGGCCAGGGCTTCGCTTTAAATCCATAGGGCCGGCTTTCTCAAATGCCGCCCTTATCCCAGGCGGCAGGAGCGAAAACCGGCCATGGGAATCCTACAATACCAAGCCCTGGCTCCTACTGAGGCCAGAGCCTGCAAAATTCATCCTCAGGGCCGAGTTTTGCGATGATCATCCACATGATAGACATTCTCGCAAAACTCGGCGCCCTGAAAAGACGTATAATCACAGTCTCTGGCCTCTAGTAGAGGCCAGAGCCTCGCTTACATTACTCAGGGCCGGCTTTCTCAATGCCGTCCTGAATCTATGGCGCAGGAGAGAAATCCGGCCCTGGGAAGCAATGAAATACGAAGATCTGGCCTTATAAGAGGCCAGAATCTGCAAATACTCCCTTCTCTACAGATTATGATCCAATGTAACACAGAAAGCCTAGAAGGAAGCCCCTTTCTCAAGGTTAAGACTTCCTTCCTGGCTTTCTGATACTGGATGGAGTGGAGTTTGGCTTCCATTGCAACTCCTTCCAGGAAGATCAAATGATTACAACAAAAGTCATGGCAATTGTATTCTAACAC